AGCTGAAATCCAGATTTGGTGGGTTTGAACTTACGTTTATAGCACCTGCAAATAACAGTTCAGCAAAATCAAAATAATCCAATCTTCTAAAACCATTTTAGCCAAACTCTAGACGCAACAGCTAAAGATGTACAGAAACCACTCTATCTGGAAGAGTATTAATATTTGCTAAGGCAAGGAAAGGCCAAGTTATGGCCAGATCAATTCCCCCCTTGTGAAACTGTTGAGAAAACAAACACCAAATCATCCAAATGAGTACATTTCTGGGCCCCAGTGCTTGCCTTAGACATGGCCTTAGAGGCCAGATCCAGTTTACTGCTGAACCCATTGATCTGTGTACAGTCCATTTATCATTCATGAAAAGAGCCAGTGATCTTCACAGTATATTAGAAGAAACAACTGAGATCATCTGTCAACGGCCCTCTTATTTCTGTTTCCCTCTCCACAGGGACTGCATCTCCTTCGATTCTTCTTGAATTAAAATGTTGCTAAGCAACACAGCTGGGGGCACCGATGGCAGAATAGCTTCAATCTATCAAACTGTTTAAGCAGCTGGAGTTTTCAGTGGTGATTTTTTTCTCCCCGTGAACAATAATGCATAATTATGGAACACAAGCCATGCTCAAATACACCAGAATATCACATATGTTTAATGTAAAGCGGGACAAAACCCTTTTCTCATGCAAATCTGAGGTGAAATCCACTATTAGCTAGCTGGACTCTCCCCAATGGTTTATCTGGTGCTGTCATTTTTCAGAAATGATAACATGCCACAAAGGATCATGAGATTCACAGTGCATTAGAATAAATATTCTAATTCACTGTTTTGTTTATTTCTTTTATCTATGCCTTTTCATTGCCTTCCTCCCTGTTACTAAAAAGTTTAGCAGAAATTAGATTTGGAAAGAAGATTTGTTCCGGCGATCAATTTTAGAGAATATATTCATGTAATATATTTAGGGAAAAATCTAACTTGCGTGATTAAATCAGATGAAACCAGTTTTTAAGATATAGATCAGACTATGCTTCTGCTGCTTCAATTGTATTATGTGTTAGAACCTTTTATATAAAGGATAAAAACATTTTACAAACAGCATAATTTATAACTAATCTGAAAAGCTGACATTACAATTATTTTATTGTGATAGTACATTTCACTGCTATGAATCGATATATAAATTGGCATAACCCACTTAAATGCACTTTCCTGCTGCACACTCCTGTTTGCTACTCTGGTCGCTGCAAAGAACTGTGCGTGAATACAGTAAACCTAAAATATTATTCTGCACTCTGCTATGCACACCTCCTCCCCTGCCCCCTCAGCATTGTAATTGGCTCCTCGTGCACTACACAATGCATCATGGTAGTGCAGGGGAGCTTGGGTTACAAACCTGAAACTACCAGGTTTTTCAGCAGGAAAAGAAAACAGCAGTGGATGTGAATGATGAGCATAAGCAACACAGGATGCCTGATGTATAGTGGAGGGTGGGTTTGGGTATATTGCTTTAGTACAGGTGTGCTTCAAAGTTTCATTTCTGCTTACACCATGTTATTTTCAAACAATAGAACAGTGCCACAACTACCATACTGTAATATATATTTTATTTACTAAATTAAGCTATAACTAGATATATGACAAACTGTGACCCATGGGCCTAGTTGCTATCTGTAGATCTGGGATTGACATGGTTGACTCTATGACTGCCATGTGACAGCCTCTGTTCAGCAGCATTACATGTTCTCAAGCAATACATTACTCACAATTGGCTGGGATAGTGATTGCTTCTGAACATTTACAGAATGCATCAACATCACAAAAAATGAGGCGCATTTCATGAGGCATTGCAGATGCTATTTGCAAAGCTATGAAACCCACGTCTACTAAACTAAGATTATGTATGTATGTATAGAGATGACCAAATAGTTAGTCTTTATTGGTTGCCATGGGTTACTACACTTTGTATATAGTCAGTAAGGCTGTATGTGTATTGGTAACGTAGCGAATCATGTTCTTAAGGAGAAAGAAAGGAGAGGCAGGTCTCTGAAAAGGACAGTTATTTACAAAATAAAACAACAATAAGCAGAGAATGGTTATTTTAAGTAAATCTGTCATAGGGTTAGGATCAATTCAAACTGAGCATATACTACTACTGCTACTACTACTACTACTACTACTACTACTACTACTACTACTACTACTACTACTGTACATAAGCAGAGGTTACCTTCAGTAAAAACAATCTCAACGCATAAAGAAACAGAGATATAAGCAAGGAAGCTATCAACTTTCCCTGTAAAAGTCCATCTTGGTTCCAGCCCCCCAATTGCCAAGTATTTTTATATGTCAATAATCATTATTGTTCAATAATCATTGTTTTTGGACATCAAATGTGGAAAGGGACAAGACATGAAGGATTACAGGCAAAGTCAAGTTTTATAGGAAAAGTTGATATTTGTATACAAATTCAGCTGTCTATATCTATGAATCCATTTGTCTTTTTGTCATGTAGTTTTCCCTTAAAGTTAATTCTACTTATGCATTTTTGCAATATATATTAGACACATGCATTCGGATTCGGACGAACATTCAAATCAACAAAATTCAGTTGAATTGACGGTTCGTCCGAATCCGAAATAACAAATAATTGATATGCCCGAATATACTAAAACAATATTCAGGCATATTAAAATTTGTTTTCAGAACACGCGGTGGCCATATTGGCCGCCAGCACGTTCTGCACATGCCCGCCGCCATCTTGGAAGCAGAATGCATAACATCACATGAGGCCATGCATGCGTGGCGCTGGGTGACGTTATTCACAGAACGAGTGGTGGCCAAATTGGCCGCCAGTGTGTTCTGCGCATGCACGCTGCCATTTTGGAGTATATCTTGGTATACACCAAGATGGGGCACCCACATTTTCTGAAAATGTATATAGGGTTTGTTAGCTGGGGGAGGGGTGTTTCTCCTCTGACTCTTTCAGCTGTACATTGTATGATTATATTACAGGGCATTATCAGCATCCTAAAAATGCGTAAACTAAAGTGATGTAGAAATGCCTCAAGTATACACTTGATGCTTAAAGGTGGTAAAATTAAATATCTACATGCAAGATCTCATATTTACCTGACTCAAAATAAATGATCTCCTTCTCTCTCTCTCTCACCCTCTCTCCCACTCTCTATCCCTCTCCCTCTCCCCCTCTCTCTCTCTCCCTCTCTCTCTCTTTCCCTCTCTCTCTCTCGTAAAAATAACAAATATTTTTCTATGCTTGCGGCTTTTTCAAAACATGAGGAAATGTGCATGAACTGGAGAAATGTACTAAATGTGTTTTTTTGGTAAAGCATACATGGTAAAATACAGCTGCCATATTCAGATAATTATTGAAACGGAACAATACAGATGTAAGAGTTTACAAAGGGAATAATAAAAAAAATTTGTGTGCAATATTTTTGAATACAACAAAATAAAACATACATATGACAAACTTTTAAGATTTATGGTTCGCTGGAGTATAAAGTATTGCTGTGCTTAATAATAGTGTCATAAATGTTTTAAATCTGTACAGCGTACAGTCTAACAATGAAGGAATTCCCATCTGGAATGTTAAACAGATGGTTACTTGTTATAATGAATCTGCCCTATAAATATCCTTTGCCATGGTCAGCATGATTTTGAGAGAGTAAAGGAAAAAAAATCATTGAAACATTTCAAGCTGCTGATAACTCCAGATTTAAAAGACAGTTATTAAATAAAAAATGTCAATACTCGTGTCTTGGCAAAAACATTTGAGACTGATTATGCTGCTTCTATTGAAAGAAAAACATGAAGTCTATATCTTTAGATCTTTTATTGAGCAGTGAGCCGAGCATCAATAGCTGCTGCTCAACTGTAAATGAAAATTGATTCCAGATCTAACCCCTCACTTATAGTGCTCCTTCTAATCTAAACTTACCCTATTAAACAGCAAAGGAAAGCATATTTAATGGAATGCCTGGAAAAGCAATTAATATTTCCAGTGTAACACAGACACAAGCAATGATTCATACAAAAAATAGGTAAGACCCAACCAGACAATGGCAAAAAGGAAATGTTAAATTGCCCTGGACAACAAAGCATGGGAAAGAAAATTATCTGAAATAACCAAATAAATGAAGCTTGCTTAATGTGGGAAAAGGTTTTATAATATTTAGTTCTCACTTGGCATCTATTAAGCTGGGTTACTAACCTCACAGAAATATAGGAGGAGTCTATAAGTACATAAACTGATCAAGGTTGTTCACATAATCCATGAAAAAGAATGGTAGTTTTAAAGTATTGATTTTGACTATTTGCAAGTCACGATTTGTGTTACATTTTTTTTATGCAGGATTTGCTGGTCATTTGGTAATACCTTTCAAGCAATAATGGCAACTTTAGTATAGGACAATGTTGAACTGCTACAAATTGGCACCTGATAGGAGGGCAGATGGTATAGTCATCCCCACACAGCTGTAACAGGTCTCACTGGGATTTTATCCACAGAAATTTATGATTATGAAACCAGTTTCTGGGTGACCACATGGCTCAGCATAAATCTGAGCAATATACGTTACAGCAAATGGAGGTAAGGGGGATCTCCAGATGAGGTTGTCCCCCACGGAATTCCTACCAGTTGTAAGAAGCCAGCATGTAACTCAGCCAGCTGGCATGTGCTTACAATTATGGTTAAGATGGATTTAGAGTTTGTTCATATACAAATCAATCAGTAGAATTACTGGCATAATTAAACATTAAAAATGTACCACCTGAACAAGATCTCTTTCTTAAGGCTTTTTATTTTCTAGTAGTTGTTAAGTTCTTGGATTAGCAAGTAGAAAAATGACTAAGATATTGGGATTCATTATCCAATGTAACTTTTACTGATTACAGATATTTAATGGTAGGATGGTTTATATGATTTGCAGCTACTGAACCCACTGTAGTCTACATAGCTCCATATATTTGGGAGTAAGAATACCTGCTCACTGTCTTCTTCATCACTGCTCAGCTTTAGGTCATCTTCAAGCATGCTGTAAAAAAGAAATGTAGAAAAAGTTAAAATAAAATCCAAAAGTGTCAAAAATAACCTTACTCTGTAATTGATGACCTTTCACAATAACGTAATCAACAGTGAGTGATACTGGTTGATTGGATTAAATAATCATAGGTATAAGTGAATGTTAAACTGAATGTGTCACAAAAGTAGAATACTAATATGTAAAGTTTTAGATGGAAGTTGCCATTTTTTACTCATGGGATACAGAGTAGTACTGACGCAGTGAGGTCGCCTGCAGTAAAAGTAAAGAAAGGGGTTGGTTTACTAAAGGAAAAAAGGCTGTTCACTTAGCAAGGGAATTTCCCCTTAGCTTAGTGAATATGGCAAAGCTCTGCAGAGTTCCATCATCCCACTGTGTGGAAGCACAAATACTATTTTTTTTACCAGCACATAATTGGGCATTTTTCACCACAAAGCTTAGGGAAAATTGCATTGCAAAGTGAACAGCCTATTTGCTTTTAGTAAATCAACCTCTGCGGTTCTACTGCTTTAGAACTGCTCTGGTTAGCATTACAGTATGAAAGCATCAGCTGCTTTTCATAATGTTTGTATGGTTATTATTCTCTCCTGCTCACTGAAAATGGACTGTAGAAATTGGTTGGTGACTGTTGGACATAATTGTGTTATAATGCTGCCATAGAGCAGCAACCTTGGCCTAGGGATGTCAAAAGCTAAGGCAGCCTTCCCCTGCATGGTAATGTTAAACTTGTTTTTCCTTAGCAGTGGAAAACTACACATTGATTTTTTTTCTGACTTCTGAATGGGGCAGCATTTAATGCAATAAAGATGCCATGTCTACAGTAATGTATAAACAGTAGGCATGTAAATTTCATTTTGTTACGAATGGATATTTATACGAATTCAAGCGTGTCCCAATGTGAACAAATCCAAATTTTCCTTTACCAAAAATTTGGATCTGTCCGAATTCTGTTCAAAACAAACCTAAATTGGACATGTCACTGTTATCAGTTGTTTTTTGGGGCTATTGGGGGTTGCATTACATGTGGCTTCTTGTGGATCTTTTCAAAACAAAAATTCGGACGGATATTACATCTGAAAAAAAATCCAACAAATCGAATTTCGGATCTGAAACCCAAAAAGTGAAAGAGATAAAAAAAATCTGATTAGATCCAAAACTAAACTAAATGATTTTTTGCAAGATTACATGTCTTAAAAACAGCCGTGGCAACAATGTTAACCGTTGCAATAATATATTTACTTTGTTATTGTATGGTAAACAAAGCATCTTATTTACTAAAACATCCACATAAAAATCAAACACTTTAGAGTCAGAGTTGGTACTATCTTTTAGTGAAAAGAACAGGTGAATTCTATACTTAAAACCTAAAGCTTGGTTTTCCAACAGGGATTTAATAGTATAAATTAAATTATCAATGCAATCAGCAAGAATATTTCTTTTTAGCATATAATTCCTGTTTGGAAACATCACAACACTTCCACATATTTTACAGAGACTAGGTAGCTACTGTTTTCCCTGCCTGACAGGTACCTATCATGAATAGGCATATTCAACCCACTGCTGCCTTTGATCATTTTATTTATGTTGTTAACAAGGGTTGTGGTCTAGTAACAGGAAGAGCTGCATGGTAATAGCTTGCATCTCCCCTATTTCCTCCAAATAACACAACTACCACTAAACTGAAAGAGTGTACCTTAGCATCCAAGACAGCTGAAAGAACATTGTAATTTACTGTATATATCATCTGGAGTGAAAATGATAAATTTATTGTGCATCTTATAATGAACACAGGGCCCTCTTTTTTTGCCATGTGCATTTTCAAGATAAGCTCATTCCTTTATTTCAGCTTACTTGTCATTACTAAATAAAAAAAGGTAAGAAAAGTGTCCCATAATTGAATTTTTAGGTTGTCTGTGCATACCGGTGTCTTCAAATATTTGCTGACTTTTAGCATCATCTCCATAATGTCTTTTCAGTTTGGCATTCTTACCATGGATTCACCTACTGCCTTCCAACTGGGAGTCACTGTTACAACGTGTGCAGCAGGCGGATGCACCCGGGAAGTTCATAAACATATTGCACCAGTGGAGTTCCAGAAAAAAAAAATAATAATAATAATATGTTTTTGTGAATAATGAAAGTCAAAGAAACTCAGACATGATTGTGTGTAAGCCCTCAATCATACCAATTATACAACTAAGCACATTACATATATCAAAGGGAAGGCATGTCTGACGAGACCACTTTCCAGAATGGCATTTAGCCACTAGAACTTCAACAGGCTGACCCTTTAACAGAATAAATGTGCAGGAACATAGCTCCTCTTAACGAAGGGTAACTATAATGAGAATCCAAGAACATTACAAGTTAACACATATATTTACCAAAATTGTAGTAGTGGTGCAGTCCTGTACGGCGTTAGCCCTCAAATAATGTAGAAAGTTTTGAGTTTAAATGATACCCTTTATTGGCTGACTTAAGTTATTAAAGATGAAAGCTTTTGGAACAAGTTAGGTTTCTTTCTCAGGTATTAGGTGCCCAAGGAACCTAACATGCTCCAGAATTTTATTGTTAAACAAACCAAAAAAGGGTACCACTTAAACTCCAAACTTTCCACTATATTTTGGTAAAAACTCACACAGATTATAAAGACCTCAAAAAGTATAAATATATTATTTACAGATGATTACATACAACAGCAATACAGTATATTCCATAATAATTTCTGCTATTTCAATACTTGTAGTAATCAGTTTCCATAACAAGTGCCTACAGAATAAAACTGATGACTGTTTGAAAGTTCTGAACCTCTCCTTTACAAACATGTACTGTGCTGGTACTCTAAGATCTATCACCAACTAAAGCTGTCTTGATGTGAGCTGACAACAAGCTGGATGTGGGCTGGATGTCAATACACTTGCAGTGTACAGATGTATCACCCTTTTGAATGTGAATGCTTTAAAAGCTGGCTGAGTTAACTACAGCTCCTCTTGTTTTGATGGAATCCCTGGCAGAGCATTAAATCTTGTATTATTTCAGTCACACAATAAAGCTACCAACTCCACAATACATTTTTACAGATACATCTGTATGTCAACTGTAAACAAATGTTAACAGAAATACTGGGAACAATGGCAAGTCAGGTCTGAAAAGCCCTTCATTACACAACGAAGAACAATGAACCTTTTTGACTTTTTATTAATCTCAAAAATAGGCTCATCGGGTAGGATGGTCTGTAATGCTTTCATGCTACAATTTTTCCTAGGTGACGATAAAGTCAATTTGTTCATAATTAACATTTGTAGCAACTCCTACATTTGTTTTGCTAACACACTTATTAAAGCGAGTTGTCAGCTTTAATAACTGGCCTTGGTGATTATTTCTTAATTTGTGATACGTCTAAGAAAGCCATGAATATTAAATTGTGCACTGAATTGTAACAATACACTAAAACAACTAAAGGGAAAGACAAAAGCACAAACAAAAACCCCAAAACACAATTAGACAGATTTATCAAAACTGAAGCAGACAAAATCTGGAACAGCTACCCATGGAAACCAATCAACTAATATCTTTCATTTTCAAAACTTAACTGAAAAAAACTGAAGAGAGAAGCTGATTGGTTGCTATGGGCAAATATTCCAGATTCTGTTAACCACTAATATTTTTGATGTTACAGCAGCTAGTTCTGCCATTGATAGTATTTATTTCTGTTATAGTATATATTTTACCTGGGGTTGAAGATCATTATTATAAGTTAGCTTCAGGTTACAGGTTAATTTTAGAGGTCATCATGAGGTTAAAACTTAGATTAAGGTTTAAGTTTATGCTTTGAATTGAAGATCAATATATATTTAATTTTTTGGGGGTGTGATAAGTGTATAATGCTTTCAGAAAAAAGTTATTTATCCCATAAATGTGCTGAAATATGTGCAACCACAATTCCTGCACCATAACACAAGTTACATTTCGAAAGCTTAATATTAGCATAACAAGCTTTAAATGCACATCTACCACTATCAGAAAGTCACAAAAAAAGGTAAATAAAAAATTGTAGTCAAGGACAAATCCATATAGAATAACCATTTAAAGAAAGTAAGGAAATGCAGTCAAGACTTTGTTTTAAATCATGTCAATGTAACCTTCCTGCAAAGGGTAATGCAGAGCTAAGAATTCATACAGTGAAGCTTCTTGTGGATCTGCAGATTAGCCCATCCACGGCATCTCTTTTCATCAACCAGAGACTTTTGCGGCACTTTGTGTCTTAATGATGAAAGTGAAATCTGACAAATATCCAGGGAAGAGCCAATTACTATATCATCCATGGGAAAATAGCAAAGACAGACACATAGGTGCATCAATGCAGCACTTGAACAATTGCATCTTTAGAGGTTTGATATGTGAAAATATATCTGCCAGCCTGTTTTTAAAGCACTATTAAGTGTGATGGCGTGCGCTTCATAGTAGTGTTATTAATAAATGCAGATGCTACAGAAGCTTCAATGTAGAAGATTACAGGCAGTCATTATTTTTTACATGCAAAAGCTATCAGCTGTAGCAAACAGTAAGACAAACATGTCTTCTCATATGTCTGGCTACATTTTAATTCTACATTTAAAGTCGGGTGAGTGATTTAAAATGAGAATGAATAAGCTGGTGCTAAATGGTTTTAAACTAATCTCATTTGTTGTTAGACTATACCACCCAAAGCCCATAGCTCCTGCTGGATAAATTATATATATCTTGGTCCAAGGATTCTTTTGCAAATGTAAACCTTGCATAAAATTGAGCATATGCATCCATATTACCCCGCAATACAATGCCATGCCTGTTAATAGCTCCCTGAGGCACTTGCATTGCTTTGTGGGATGTATTGCGTAGGTTCAAATGTCAAAACCCCCAAATATTGCATATATAAAATCAGTAAATGTATTTAATCCATATGCAAGTAGTAAAGGAACAGAACCAAAAATAACAGACATGTTTCTGCAAAA